TGTGGACTGGTGTTGGGTTAATGGGTTAATGTTGGACTTGTGGGCTTGGGTAGCATTGGGTTGGGATGTTTTCGTGATGCACCTTTCCTTTACATAAAACTCTCTTATCCATGAGTCGCTGTGAATTTGTTTCTCCAAAGTACCTAGACTAATACAGTAACTCTTTATGGGAGTTAAAAGCCTCATCTGTCTCCCATGGAGTGGCTGGTGGTGTTGAACCGTTGACATTGTAGGTAGCAGCCCAATGTGTAAGCACTGTCCTTGCGGCCACACAGTGGTTTGTTACTATCCAAGGACGGTCTGCTGTCCTGTGACCGTGCTTTATTGCACGTCGGAGCCCCTCTGCTCTCCTTCTTTGGCTTGGCTTGCCTTCACCTTACGAATCAGAAGCAGGTGGCAGCCCTGCTTTGCGCCCTCCCCCCCCCCCACAGCAAATACTCACTTCATGTTTGTCTGACCCATTTTAGTCATTCCCAAATGACTTTCAGATTTTCCAAATTGCTGTTGCACACTGAAAAGACTGCAGTGTGGTGGACTCGTCACTGAAATCAGACAATCTGTGTGATTTGCTTTCTTGGGATACTGGCTGAAGTGGGGAGGTCTGGTCCAGAACCAGAGATATCGTCAAGGCCTGCCTGTACCTCCCCCCCCACATGATCAGGTCCCACCCAGGACAAGCTCTATGGTCGAGGTGAGGAGTGTCAGTTTAGAACCAGAGGCCAGGTGTGTGTGTGTGAGGGGAGCGGACCATGTCACCCTAAGCACGTGGGGTTCAGTAAGCGTGGCCTCCAAAGCTGGCTTCTAGCCGGGTATTTCCCTTGGCCATCGAAAGCCAGTGATCCACGATGGATGCTATTTCCCTCTTCTACAGGTTGGGCTGCTAGCCACGAGGTCAGTGGTTTGAAACCACCAGCCGCTCTGTGAGAGAAAGATGAGGCTTTCTACACCTGTAAAGAGTGACAGTCTGGGAAACCACAGGGGCAGCGTCTACCCTACCTTACAGGGCTGCTAGGAGTCTGAATCGACTCCGTGGCAGTGAGTTTGGTTTGGGGTTTTGAGAAAGTACGCCCCTTCCCTGGTGGCTCTTCATGGTTCAGACCAGAGCCCAGGGCAGAGCTCCGAGTCCAGAGGCTTTCACACTGGATGAGGATGAAGGTGGGAAAGAAAGGGGAGCTTGCACTAACTCTTGTTGGAGTTACACTCACTCACTCAAACGCTGATTCAAGACCACACACTCACCTGGAAGTGGCAGGTACTGGAGAGAGAAGAGAAAGTCCTTATGCAGAGGAAGAGATGCGTACAGGTGGCTTCTATACTATTCTAGAGGATCTAGTTCTATTTAAAACCCTGGAAGCCAAGCTCTGGCACGGTTCTCCTTCGTTCTTAACATCAGGTAACACAGGAAACACTTTGCTCTGTTTGGGCTTTTGCCTAATGAGACCATCAAATTCCAGACCCATTGTGGAGTTGTGTCCTCATGCACAAGGGTCAGGCAGCCTCCCCTCCGAGCCACGAGGACAAATAAAGGAATAATGAGCGGATTAGAGACAAATGAAAATTAAACAATGAAACTTATCGCAAGTAACAAAAGAAGGGTGGAAATCTCAGAGATGAGCATGCCAAATTATTCATGGACATGTCTCTTTGCCCAAGAAACACCGGTGTACCAAGGAGGGTGGGGGCGGAGCACTCTTCCCCGATAAAGGCAATAAGGGGGCACTGTGTATGGAGAATTAAAGCACAATCAAAAACCAATTAAAAGCAAGGGGAAAGGGACTATCTTTTGAAGTCTGAACAGGAGTCCTCTGGCTGGAACTCAGCCGACAGGGAGATGGTTGGTACCAATCTTTTCCACGCGTTGGGTGGGATGCCTTTGGGTGGCCCTGTCTCTCACACCCTCTTGCCTGTCAGGCCCCTGAGGGAATCTGTGGAGGGAGCTTCCTAAAATCACTGTGAAGCAGAGGCTTCTCTTCTTCTCAGAGAACGATGGGCTCTGTGAAGTAAAACTTCCCATTCCAGGGATCAGTCTAGTCTTTCAGACTTCTCTCTTCAGAGATTCGGCTTGTGGCTTTTTTTGGTCCTCCTTCATACGCTCCCTATGAGATAACTCGAGGCCCACTCATAGTCACTCAAATCTCACGAGTGGCATGTCAGGGAGGCAGCCGGGCCGCCATCTGCCTTATCTTGGATGAAATCTCCTTATCAGCCAGCAGCAGATGGCAGCCATATTGTCTACCTAGTCAGACACGGAGGGGCTAGGCACTGTAACTTTCATCCAAACAGGAAGAAAGAAACTCCTGAAAGTGCTGAACTTCAAGTCACATGAAATACCAGGGCACACCACCGCCCCGCCTTCCTCCCCAACCCCCCAGAGGCCGGTGCGGGGTGTCTGACCTTCAAAGATGTACTGGAACTTGTGCTGCTGGAGGCTGGCGCTCATGGCCTCTTCAATGGCACTGATGTCTTTGTTGAGCTTCACCACCAGGGGGTCGTAGTCCATGCTCTCCACGTTGGCTACAATGGCATAGTTGCCCTCCTTTGTGAGAGGGATGAGGTAGTGGAAACAGTGAACCCTGAGAGAGAGGAGGGGGAGGAGAGCAGTTCATTAAAAAAACAACAAAACATATGCCCCACGAAAAGAACACTCTTCGTATGACATGGCTCTCATGTGTGTTGAACTGTACTCCCCTCAAAGTCAGTGTTGGGCTCCTAACTGGGTTAGGAGTCAGTTGTATTTGTAACTGTATCTGTGGCTGCCACCCCATCTGAGAGTAGGTTTTATTTGCTGTGTTCATGAGGGCAGGGCGGTGTCGGGTGTGCCTTTTGAGATGGAGAAAGGGCAGATGAGACGCAGAGAGAAGCGCGGAGCTGCAGGGTGAAGCCCAGCTGCCCTGGTTCTCACCAGTGCTCAGCAGGATCAGAGCCTTGGGGGCGTAGTGGTTATAAGTGGGGCTGCTACCTGCAAGGTCAGCAGTTCAAAACCACCAACCACTCCCCTGGAGAGAGATGGGCTTTCTGCTCTCATGAAGAGTTACGGTCTCAGAAACCCACAGGGCAGTTCTACCCTGTCCTGCAGGGTCACTCTGAGCCAGCATGGATTCAGTAACAAAGAGGATGTTTCTGGTTTTTCGGTGTTCTGACAGATACGTCCTGACGTCTGACTGTTGGTCTGAATTTTCCCAATGACTAATGACATCGAGTGTATTTTATGTACATATTTTCCATCTTTATATTTTTGGTGAAGTGTCTATATCTTTTTATCAATTAAAAAAAAGAATTAGGTTGTTTCTCTTTCTTATTACTGCGTTTTGAGAGTTCTTTATATATTCAGGATACAAGTTTGTTAACAGAGAGGCACCTTCCAAATATTTCCCCCGACTCTTTGCCTTGTCCTTACATCTTCTTAACAATGTCTACCCAAGGACTACTTTTTAGTTGGCAGAAGTCCCATCTGTCATTTGCTTTCTTTCATGAATGATGCTTGGGCGTCATATTTTACAATCATTTCCTAAACAAGGTTGCAAAATGTTTCTTCTAGATGTTTTTAGTTTTAGGTATTACGTTAAGGCCTAGGCTGCTTTTGACCAAAGTTTTGCATATGGTGAGCTATATTCTTACACCTTGTTCATGGAAGGGGATGCAAATATGTGAGTGGAGTTCATTTTCACTGATGGGTGCCCATTCTAACAGCTGCTAATTAACTGGCAGCTAAGTTTACCAATAAAAATGCATTATGACATTCATGTGCAGACTGGTCCCATATATCATTTTGCTCAAGATACCAGTAACAGACACACTGTTCTTAGTCCACTCTGGAAGGTGACTTTCTTTTGTTTTTGTTTAATCACTTTATTGGGGGCTCGTACAACTCTTATCACAATCCATCCATCCATCCATTGTGTCAAGCACATTTGTACATTTGTTGCCATCATCATTCTCAAAACATAGCCCTTGGTATCAGTTCCTCATTTTATCCCCCTCCCTCCCTGGCCTCCCCTCCCTCATGAACTCTTGATCATTTATAAATGATTATTTTGTCATATCTTACACTGCCCGACGTCTCCCTTCACCCACTTTTTTGTTGTCCATCCCCCAAGGAGGGAGTTATATGTAGATCCTTGTAATCAGTTCCCCCTTTGTACCCCACCTTTCCTTAACCCTCCCGGTATCACCACTCTCAGCACTGGTCCTGAAGGGATCTTCTGAGGAAGGTGACTTTCTAATACAGTTAAAGTTGACTAACCCTGGAGGGGTACTCAGGTCAAGAGCAACTGAGTACTACTATGGCTGGGCTTTTAAAAGGATATTATTTTTTGAGGTTTTCGGTGAAAATTTACCTAGTCAATTGGGTTCTCATCTGGTGACAGCAAAACAAATGGCTCACGGCGTTAGTGCACAGTGTCCTCAGTGTGCACCATTCTCGGTAACTGTGTTCTGACTGTCCCCTTCCCAGGCCCCGTTTCCTTGCACCATCATCTCCTCTTGTCTGCCTTAGAGGAACTGTTGACCTTGGGCTGCAGATAGACGGGTTTTCAATGGCTCACCATATTCACGGTGACAGCCTTTATTTTGTGTTCCAACCTGTTATTTTGCCAAAAAGTGACATCCAGGGACAATTTTGTGTAAAAGCTTAAGGAATAACTTTTTGTGTGTGTGACTTAGTTGATTTATTAACAGATAAGCATACTACCTAGTTCAAGAAATAGAGCTCGACCACCTGCAGAATCCCTTTCCATGTGCTGCAAGCATGCCTAGACCCCACTTCCTTGATTTTTATAGTTATATATATTTTGTCTTTTAGATAATTTTGATGAACCGTTCATTAATTTTAAAATTTATGGGTAACAAAACTTTTTCTAACTCTCATATATAACATAAAGTTGCCATAGTTACAATTTTAGCGTATAATTCACTGATGTTAGTTACATCCACAAAGTTGTACAACCATGCAAAACAGTGATTTAATTGGTCCCAATCCTTGGAGATCCTATGTGTGTCAGAGTAGACTGTGCTTTATAGGCATTACAATGGCTGGTTTTTGTGTTTTTTCCGAAGTAGATCACTAGGGCTTTCATATACTATTGTTTGATTTTTATAAGGAATAACTTAAGGTGACAACCTCGGGGGTCCCACATCTCACCTGGTCTGCTAAGTCAGGGATTTGTAGGCATTTGAGCTCTGTTCCTCCTCTTTCTCCCATGCTCGCCAGAGCCGTCTCCTGTGCCCCTGAGCCGAATGGTCGGCAGTGGCTCCCTCCAGCTCTTTCCGCCCCACAGGAGATGAGGCTATGACTCATGTCGGCTATCAGCCCTGTGTCCTACGCTTCTCCTGAGATTCAGCATGGAAATTTAAACTAAGGAGCACGTACAGAGAGTCCAACCATATCGAGCGGTAAAAGTAAACGGTCGGCATTATAATCCCAGACGATGGGAAAACCACGTGCAGTGGCACGGAGGCCTGAGTGGTCTGGAGGATGGGATCCTTCCCGCTGCACACAGATCCCGAGATAAGGACACAGGTAGGCTGAAGGCGGCCAGAGCCAGATGATCACAGGCTTTGGGAGTCCTAACAATGGGCTAAGCACAGGAACAATGGTGAGGGTGGCGCAGGAATGGGCGCTGTTTCAGTGTGTGCACAGGGTCACGGTGGGCAGGGACTCACTCAATGGTACCTAACACCAACAGGGAGCTCTCGGGGCTACAAGCGATGCAATAATACATCCAGATCACTCTGGTCCGCCATAAGCAATCTGCAGAAGGCGAAGAATGGGGGCTCGTGGAAGTCACGGAGGTAGTTAGGAAATGAGCATGCACTGGAGGTGAGCGCGTGTCTGTGAGCTCCAGAAGCAGACCGGAGAGAGATACACTGTGTGAGAGGGCTGCCTGTTCCTCTCCACAAAGGCCCCGAGAGGAGAAAGACTTTAAGACAGTCGCCAGGGAAAGGCTGAATTCAAATAAAGTTTCTTTCAGACTCTGGCACTTGCTGCTGACCTTCGCCTGCCGTTGGCATTCAGTTTCCGCCAACACTGCTGAGGGCACAGCGGGATGGCTGGCTTGCAGAAAGCGCACACTGAGGAGCCCGGCAGAGACAGGCAGGGGCTCTTGAACCCACTTTGAGCCCTCCTGAGGGTGACAGAAATCAGCCGATAAGAGTGACAGTTTTGGCACCAGGAAACTCAAAGGACAACCGTATTTCCTTCTTCCAAAGTTCAAAGAGAGAAACAAACCCCCCAACCCGTTTTAATGGTGCCACCGGGTCTTTCCTCTTTGGGGGTGCACATGGCACACCGCGCCGGCAGCTGCTTGCCGGGTGGCATGTGACCGCCAGTGGTGCGGCTGGAGAATGCCATATTTCCTTTGGAGGGTCCTTCCACAGAGACCTGCTGGATCTGAAAAGCCTTTGGGGGTTGAACTTTAACATTTAAAATAATATATAAACATGGGCCATGGTTATAAAATAGTGGGAGGAACAAGTTACAGCCTCGGTATTTGGAGGGGCTCTGGGCATTGGTTGGTCTTCCCCATTTATTTGTTGACTGCCCTGCCTGTGTCCTCTCCTTACTGTGGCCACTGTCCTAGAGACTGCGCCTCACTAGCCACTTCATCCCACTCGCTCCTGGAGGCCAGGGCCTGGGTTCCAACTTTCCCTCTTTGTCATGGAGAGGTACCAAACCCGTGGTGTTTAGTAATTCACAACATTGTACAACTCTGCCTTCTATCTAGTCTAAAACATTAGAAATCGGCTCAAAAGGAAATCCTGGCCCATTAATCCTATCGCTGCTATCAGGCTCATTCTGACTCATAGTGACCCCATAAGGGCAGAGGAGAGCAGCTTCCTAGGGTGTCTGAGCCTGGAAATTCTTACGGGCGCAGACAGGTTCATTTTTGTGCCCATGGAGTAGCTGGTGGTTTTGAACTGTTGACCTTGAGGTTAGCAGCCCATGGCTTAATCCATGTGCCAAAAGGCCTTCAGACCCAGCAAGCAGTTAGTCCTCATTCTTTTCCTTCCCCCAACCCCTACCAACTTTCTCTTTGGGTATAACGATTCTGCCTACTTCACAGAAGTGGAATCAGACAATCTGAGGGGGCTTCATATAGTAGGACAATGCCATGATATCTTTTAATTCAATTATCTTATGAGTTGGACTTCTTTCACAGCATGATGCTTTTAGGGCTCTTCCATTCCACAGACCAGCATGTGCCACCACTTCACGCCTTCTTACAGATGAAGAGCATTTTATGGTGCACACACACACACCCATTCACATTTTGTTTACCTACTCATCCACATCTGAGCTGTCTCCACCTTTTGTCTCTTGTAAATAATCTTGCAATGAACATTTAAATATGCAAGTATTTGTTTGAACATTTGCCTTCAATTCTTTTAGGTACTATACCTAAGAACAGAATTGCTGGATCCTGTGCTAATTCCATGTTTAAGCTTACAATAGGATGGGAACCAAACAAACAGCTGACGCTAACAAGGCCTACGCCGGCCTCCGTGCGCTTTGTGCCTCCTCTGATAGCAAGAAAGGCATTGCCACTAAGTCGGTTCCAACTCGCAGTGACCCGAT